ATAGGTATTCGAAACGCAGGACTACATTAGTTATACATCCGTAAATACAAGTAGAGATGCTATTGAGTTTTATAATGATCGCAAACACAGCTGGTACTAAATTATTTTATTCATTGAGTTTGTCCCTTATAATGACGGTGAACGTCTACAGGATTAATCATGTCCTTTACTTCGTTCCACACACAATGAAATTTAATTTCGATGTGCAAATATTTATCTCTAGTATAAATAACTACAAGTTCTACGTAATAGGGAGAACTGATGTCGTATTATATTTGCAATTTTAAAATCAAATGTAAATAAGAGTACTTACCGTGGTATAAATACTGTAGTATTCAGTGGCACGTTTGTATATATTATATTATAATGTGTAAATATACATAAAGGGGAAACCAAAACTTTTTTTTTTCTTCTTTTGACAAAATGTTCTGTTGAATAAAAATCAACAGTATTCTTTAAGTTATTTCTAAAACAGTATTTAATTAAAAACTAAATGTTTAATCACGAATGATTAATTTTCAACTAAATGACTAATTTGAAGAAAAAAAATGTAATAACTGTGTTGTACAAAGTAATCAATTAAGAACAAACTCGATAGGTATTTAGAGAAGTAAATATACAAATACTTGACAATAATATTTTTTGAAACAAAACTCAAATTATATAAATTTTAAAATGTATTTTCGCTGAATCAGGTTTTAGAATGTCTGCCAGCAACCTAGTCGACTCCAAAGTTGTAAGCAATTTACAAAACAATAATCAGAAAATGTCATCTAAAATTTGGAAGTGCAATGCATTTGACAGGTGCAGTTTTTTTATGGATATTACATAGTTTTTGTTCGCTCTGACAGGTCTACGGCACAGCTCCTATAATGTACTTGCCTATATTAATTCAATAGGCAATACAATTAACCGGTGTTATATTATGAAAGGTATGAGCTGTAATTAACACCCAATAAGCATGTGATAAAGCGCGCTGCTGTTCGTGTACAGTATTTTTATGATCAACTGAGACCCTGCCCCGTTTTACAACTAGATAGGTATAATATTATATCATGTTAAATCATACCGGTGTATATCGTCCATCAATGACATCAGTTAAGTGTTGCACGTTAATTGTTCGACATGGACCACGAGAGGCTGTTAGTGTGTTTTTTCTTAGCTGTCGCCCTGATGCTTCGGACCACTTGTCCTACCGGCAGCAAGCAATTTTTCAACAAAACGGAATTCGCTGCCAACAACGATATCATTACTAAAGCTAGACACAAACGGTATACGTTGTACATGATGGCCGTTTTGGGCCGTATATTTGCAGGTATAGTGTATTTTGCTATTAAAATTAAAAAAAAAAAACTCAGTACGGTTAAAAAGTAAAAAAAAAGTATTTGTAATATAATTACATATATGTGTCTAATAAAAACAATCTTACCCCCCCCCTTTCTTTCAATTTATAGTATCAAAAATAATCCCTATCAATAGACTATTATTCAAATAAGCAATTCCTAAAATTTCATATCCCATGCTTGAGTACCTACTTCCTCGTAATTTTTTTTTGCATTTGATAATTAGTGAGTTAAGTTTTTAATTTTCGTTTAAAAAATCCTAACTGGAAAACTAATCAAAATGTTTATAATTAAAAAAAAAGCTATAATATGACATTTTAAAATCACTCTTGATATTTCACGAATAATTTGTTTTTATCAAGTTACAGCCCATAGAAACTGATAAAACTGATAACTCACGAAATGCCATAAGAAGGATTCTCAAGTGTCATATTTTGGCCAAGAATTGATTTTCAAATTGAAAAAAATGTTGTTTAGTTTTCAAGTTAGAAATTGTTTAATGAAAAATTAAAATATCCCACGTTAATCAAATACAAAAAAAATATTCATGAAGAAGCACTTTGAACCTAGCTAGTTGAGCTAGGAATTTGAAATGTTGGGGATTAACTATTTTACACTCAGAGACAGATACAAGGGGAGGGGACTATGGAGGCTGAAGCCCCCCCCCCTTATGTACTTAAATAGTTTGCATTAAAAGTGTATTTTTATTTTTATTATTTTTGTATATTATAATAAATTAGAATAACTCTATGACTATTACTTATATTATGTATTTGAAGTGATTTTTCCCCCCTATTTTCATTCCTAGATCCGCCTCTGAATACACAATTATCAATTAAAAGAATAAGAATTAGGAAGAGCAAAAAATAATGAAAAAGAGCAGTCCAATATAATATTATATAATATAATTATAATACTAATTTATTATATATATATTATATACAATACCTAGAGTCTAAACGGATCAAAATGTCCATTAAATTCGCAAATAAAACCACCCTATCATGAAAAAAAAGTTCAATTCTAGAACAACAATTGAAGAAGTAGTAAAGAACCTTTTATACAGATTAACACAAAGCCTTATGGAAACTAAACAATTTTAAATTCACTTGCTAAAAGCCACAAAAAATAAGATCGTTCCATTGAGACTCTAGGTACAGATATACCTATAAAAGTTATCCATATATCAATGTAATAAATAACATGACATTGTAATGTAAAATAATACATGACATCTATGTATTATGTAAATTAGAGCCGTCCTTGTTTGGGGTGTGAATACATTTCAGCCGTCACCTCAAATTAGCATAAAAATTAAATTAGGTACTCAGTTTTGTTTAGTTTTCCATGTCAACTCAAACCCTCCTTAGAAGACAGGGTAGTTTAACCTAATTAATAAGTACAAGTTTTTCTATATTTCCGGTGTTTTTTTTTTTTATTTCCAACTAAAAATATGTTCAAATAGTATCCCTATTTCCCATGTCATTGAATATCTTGCAATTAAATGTGAAAATTAACTGAGTATTATTTTGAGATCATACTGTTCAAGCAACCAGCAACCATATTGTTTGATAAGGTCAAAATTGGGGCTAGGGGCGCAGGATGGTGGATAAATTATGTGTGGGCAAAATATACATTGATTTTTTTTTGTAATTTTTGAGCTAGCATAAAAAACAGGAAATCGCAAAAACACAGAAGATATTTGTTGTAACCGTCTCCGATGGGCTAATGTTTTGTTTGTATTAAACTATATTGACACAGGGGTGAAACGTAAAGCTGTACATAAAACAGACGACATGTGCGAAGACTACAACTGCGTGTCCGGCTATTGTGTAACCAACTGTGGTTTTACTTTTGGCAGGGCCAAGTGGTGCTACATGACCAGAGAGCACACCTGGGTTAAACGGATTTTGCACCCTTACGTCGAGTGCCAACACATGAACGACTGCACAGAGTGTCTGCCCTGCGCCGGGTCCTGTGCCGAAGGTATGGAACTGCCGGAGAGATATTATTAGTTTTGAGTTGTGTGGAACACAATAATATTAATATAATACCTACATATTTGTATAATGTACCTAATATAATAACCGTCCGACAACGGCCAAGTCAACATGAAGCCGATGGTGTGGTTTTCGGGGTTGCTATAATTTTATGTAAATATATTTTTATTTATTTTTTGGATCCCCCCTTCTCAAACATTTTCTTTCACAAACGATAGGTTTATTTGAAAAAAAAACGAGTTAAAAAAAAAGTAGTTATAAGTAAAAAATACAACTTAATAGTTCATTTTTTCTTTTACACTGTAATTCGTATACTATTTGTCAGACGATAAAAATGTATAGAATTTTTAACGTTTAATTATTTGTATAATACTTGTTTGTTTTTATTATTCATTTTTTTTTTTTTATAATAGACAATTTATTGGCTTTTATCATTTTTGTCAAATATAGTGTATTAATTTATTTGGATTTACAATGATGTGTTTTTTTTGTCTGTAAAAAACATGATAACTTTTTTCCTCTGGACCAAATTACTCGAGTAACATTCTCTCTTGATCCAAAATCGTGGCTGGTGGGTCAAAAGTAGACTGGAAAATAATAATATGCATAATGTTATAAAAACAAATAGTAGTATATCGACCTTTTGTTATTCAGTGAAATTTTCGTATTCAAAGCATTTGTACAAATGAGAACAGTTATTACCACGACAACAGCAGAAAACACAAAAACAATTTCGTTTAAATAGCAAACGAATAGACTTTCAATTCAAACCCACGCATCGATAAAATAACTATTTAGAATTCATACTGACAAAATAAAAACAGTACATAAATCTTTTATATTTTCACTGTAATAATAATTATTTCTACTTTGTTTATCATTAAAGATTCATCGCAAAGTTAAAGGTAAAAGACGCAAACAGCAAATTAGCTATAATGTGGTACTATATCAATATCAAATTAGCTGCACGTCACAGTATATCTTTAAAAATACACGCTATACTTAAAAAATTGTTCATTACAAAAAAAAAAGTCAAAAATTAATTCTACGGGTTTTAATTAGTAAAAAAAAACATGGTTTGAAATTTTCATGGGACTATTTTATTTCTGTCAAATTTAGAGCTAAGCAGTAACTAGCTGGCTAGTTTACTAGCTGATCATTTAATCACAATTTCAATACTTTCACCAGCGGTAGCTTCTATCTATTGATAAAACAAAAATAACACTAGTTATGATTTTTAACTATTAAATTAGAATTCCGTTACACTGCATTATCTGCAAAATTATAAAATATTATATGCAAGAAATGCTCTAATTAGGTATTATTGGATATTTAAATCTTTTTTTTTCCGTTTTAAGTTCAAAAATGAATCATAATTAAATTACATCAAACAACGTACAACAAAATAATTAACTTCAAAACTTTTTTTTATAATAACATTTTTAACTTCTCATAACACTAATTAAAAGTAAAAATGTTAAATTTCGGGTTTTAATAACATTTCAAATCCTTGATTTAATAATACAATATGAGGGTGGCCACTGTTGTAAAATATTTACTCTTTATCTTATCCGTAAGTCTTACTATAATAAAATTAACAGTTGACTTGTTCGTTTTTACATTAAACTTTATGTACCCACGTAAAACAACACAACAATAAAGAATGTTTTGCTTTTATTGACAATGACAAAAATTTGAATACTAAAAACAATCAACATTTCAATTTTATAAAGAACGAAGGTACTATTAGTATAAACACGTAACTATTAGTATATTTACAGAAACTACATCGAAAGTTATTAGGCTAAAAGATATAATATAAATCTCTACCAAAAAAAATTATCTAGGTATATCCTCCAAGAGTTACAGAAATGGTAATTTTTTGCGATGACCTAACAGTCTTGATTATTAAAATAAGTGGTATTTTGTTAAGTTCTCTTATTTTTACTATATAAAAAAAAAAGAAATAGTTAATACAAGTTTTTTTAATGGTTTTAAACACTGAATAATATTAAAAATACAATTAGTTAATAACAACAATAAAACAACAATTAGATGTTCATTTTATGCCTTCACTTGAAATGTCCAATCGAAAACATAACGTTAATAACATAACAGAGTTTATTATACTGACTGTTTTTAACATGACATCAAATACGATTAGCGTGTTTGCACTCTTTTTTTAATACAATCATGTAAATATTAAAACTAGTAATTCGTTAACATTCACGTTTACAAGTTTTTATTTATAAATCTCTCGCGTAACAACATTTTATTAAATACATTGTTAAAAACAGAAAGGGATCATATATTCTATATTATACATGAATGAACTTAGAGTATCGATATTATCATACACATTAAAATAAAACTTACGATATATTTTCAATAATAACATATACAAGGAGAAATTAACCTAAATAGGATAACAAAAAAGAAAAAAAGTAAAAGAAAAACTCACCCAATAAACAATACACAGGTGAAAATCGCTGAATATTAATGAAATACACTATTATTTTCTAGTAGGTTTATATTATAATGGTATATAATAAATATTATGATGATTTAAGGTGTTAGTATATCTACTTGTTGAAAAATCTAAAGACGTTTATGAAGTTTAAATGTCTTTGCATGTTGACAGAATACGCGTACTTAAAATATCTAGTTTACTGGAGAATAAGTCGACTGGCATTATTCAATCAAACAACCAAAGACAACACACGAATGATTACTAAAGACATGCACACAAACACATAAACTGAAATTAAATATTGTCAGTAATAAAACAAGCTTAAATAATCACAACCAAATCAGACTTAAAGAAGAACATGGGACATATAAACGCAAGAAGGTTGTTGAATTTATTTATATTATCATTCCGTGGTGCCGACATCGCCATTTTCTAATGGCTCGTCTGTTGAATTATTTTTCTTCTTCACCATTTGAACAACTTCTTTGAAACGAGCCATACATTCCTCCTATAATCAAACAACAAATGGTTATACTCGAGTTACTAAGTATTTTAAATTAGCTGTTAAATCAAGTGAAGTGAGAACACATTAAAAAAATAACAGGAAATGTTTCATTCTAGGAAAGCAAGCAAAGGTCACATTAAAGCTTATTTATTAGATCTTCTACAGTAATATATATAATATATACATATATACATATATATATATATATATATTATACTAGGTACACATTAGTTTGATTTCGTACAACTTACAAGCATCAAACGTATATAACGACAAATTAATTCACATATAACCTATAACAAATATATACATATAAATGAGTATAATATTAGTTGTATAGCTGTCACAAAATTACGGAATCGAGAGGATTGCGATGTTAGTGAAATTGTTATTTCTTTGATTTAAAATGATATGTCAAACTATTAATAATTTGGATAATATTGGAATTAGCAGTATAGAGGGTGAAAATAAGAAAAAGAGTAGGCAATAAATTTAATGTAAGTTGATTTTCAATATTTTTTGGGGTAAGCTACATTGTTATACATCGATAAAAGCCTTAACCCAATTTTCAGTACAATGATTATAGAGACGTTATGAGCAATTAAATATGTATGGCGTATAAATAGTTTTACATATTAACACTTTGAAATCAATCACGCGTCTGAGGTGTGACTCAGTAGTAAGACACATACTATTAGTGCCAGTTCTCAACATTTTAGTTTAAAAATTAAGTATAATTTACCAGTACTAAAATTATAAAATAAACTATACTAAATTGTTAGGCCAAACTGGTGAGAACGGCCATAATTTAAAAGTAAGAAATTGTACTATTACTGATGGAACTCAATAAATCATACAAATTTTAAAAATGTAGAGCATTAAATTTTGTGCGAAAATACTCATCAAGAATTTATGACAAATATTTCTAAACAAACTATTCAATGTTATAATAGTGCCATAGATGGACTATTTACAGACCATTTAAAAATTAAACTACCCTGTTAAGAATGAAAGGGATAGGTAAGTAAGTATTTTGCATTCTTTAAAGATTTACAATAGCTACAATAAAATTATATAAATCATTGTTATTTTCTAGTTATACTAATGTCACTTTTTTCTGTAAAATCCAATAAATCTGTTAAAATAATATAGATTAAGAAAACACATTATTCTAAAAGTTGATGATATGCTATGATTAGTTTGATGGAAGTCATGACTATTAATTATGAATATGTATAAATTAGAGGTTACAATTACACTAGTATAACAATTGGGCTTAATGAAAATGTCCAAGAAAATTATCTATAATAAATTAATTTAACTACGTCTAAATTCTAATAATAGTATTAGGTATAAGATGTATAATTTTATTTTAAGTAAAACTGTTTTTATTTACTTTAGTTTTATTGGGTACACATTTAGCAATTTTTTCCCATCGGTTTTCGGTAGATCCTTTGGGATATTTAGTAAGCGCACTCTCTAATGCTTTCTGCTGAACCTGATTCCACGCACTGTCAGTAGATTCTGTATTAGTTGTAGATCTCGTTTTTATTTTTTTCGGTTCTTCAGTGACTACAGATTCTTGTGTTTCGCCAGGTGTCGGTACTTTATAGCCATTTTCTTTCATTTTGTTAGCCATGTAAGCTACTTCTGGTACGGGTCGATGCATTGCTTTGGCAACTTTTTGCCATCTGTCTGACGTACCAGCCGGATATTTATTGACCATCTGAGACAATTCGTACAAATCGTCATCCGTCCATAAGCCACCTGAAACTACTGGAGGTTCACTTTTATCGAGATTGGTTTTTGCTCGATTTTCAACAACAGTATTCTTATACTCATTAATCTCTGGTATCTTGTATTGGACTTTACGACGTCGAACACGTTCACGAACAATAGGCTCTGGTTTTTCAGGTTCTTCATTGCTAAAAAAATATCAAAATTTAATTATTAACAAAACAATAATTTGTAAAGGATAAATTGTTTGTACAATTATATTGGAAATACAAATTGCTTGTTTTCAAAGGGATTATCAAAGAAAACATTTAAAATAGAATATTTATTTTCTGTGCTGAAATCCTCCATACTACAAATTTTCGCAAGCCAGAGTCATCAAGCCATCAAGTTAATCGCTTGATTTCTCTATCACATATTTTTCCTAACAAATGTAAATAATTTAGAATTTACAGGGCTTATACTACAATTCAATATATAAAAATGAATTGGTTTATATTTTGTCTATACTACTGTCGTACTGAAAACAACTAAATCCATACAGAAGGTAAATTACTATTTTCAACCTGATAAGAAATCAATGATTGTCTATCGAGTTTTATTTATTTATGTTACTATCTTTAGGCCAAAGAATTACGTTGTTTGCAGTGCTTAATGATTAATTAAGCAGACTTTGTACTGAATATCTAAATTTTAATAATTATAAAATTACAATAATATTTGAGCAAAAAAATTAAAGTTTGTACAATTACTCATTGCTATAATTTTTTTAAATTTGATTTTGGCACATTTTATTTTATATTTTACTTTATTACGAGTGTATTTTACCATACATACCTTTCACAAGTCGTCCTCTCTTTGAATTTGGTAACTAAAAATGAGATTGCTGAAGTTGTCAAAGATGGTAAATTTAAAACAAAGATCCATAGCCAATATGGTATTTGACAGGGCAGAGTGTCTTTTAAACTATAAACATTTATAAAACAATTGTGTTAATGATAAAACGAAATCAATGCAAAAAAAGTTCACTTTACCTAGGTTTCGGTATGTTGACATCAAATTCAGGAGGCAATGTCGAATCACCTCGATACTTCTTTTGTTTTCGAAGCTTTCGAACCTTAGAACTCAAAAGCTCTTCCTGTAAAATAAAACGTACATTACTAGGCTTTGAAGGTTTCTTTTGTCTTTAACACAGTGCTGAGTGCTGCGGAATTTATTATGAATGACAGCGTGCTAAAGCAACTTAGTCACCCATCAACACTGGTTGACAATATGGCAACATTAGGTACTCACACTGTTCAACTCTGAACTTTCCTTTATTACTTTAATATAACATATAAAATTATAATTTGCCTAATTATAATTTAATTAGTTTTATTGTAGGTGGTAAAAATAGGCAATGTAATGCAGAAATGGACAAAAATTAGTAAATTGGTATTTTTTTTTTTTTTTAATATAAATAAAAAGAAATATATTTAATTGAATATTTTATAGTTTGAATAAATGCTATAAAAATTATTATTAATAATGAAAAAGTTAATAACTTATTTAAATAATTATACCATTAAAAAAAGTGGTATTATTATTTACATGATATAAAAAAGTATCCAAACAGCCCAGAAGAAAAGTCCATAATACTGTACAAAAATTTGATCAATTTAAAAAAGTCAAACAAATCTATTACAGCATGTACAAGATCTCATTATCATATCATCTAAACTTACAAAAATAGAGAGAAATGATTGATGATTGACCACTGCACCAATAGTATGCGACACGAAAATAACAAATGAATATACAAGTACCCCTGTATTCGTTTAATACTTTCAAATAAATTTATTGGAGACATTATTTTAATCCACTAAAATGGTGAAAACAAAAATCCAAATATACTGTTGTTAAGTTGAGGTTCTAATGAATACCTTTACGTAAAATCATGATGCTTTAAAAACTAAGCGGATATGTGTCAATTGCGATTACCGCATTGAGATCACCGGGACCCTACAACAGTTGTTATCTATTCATCAACCGTGCCACTCAACATGTTATAACATTGAATATTAAAAATGGGTGAACATTAATTGATTAAAAATAAAATATTAGTTTTACAATACCACATATCATTTATAAAATGAATAAATGTATTACAAATGCACTTCACTTACAACAGTGATTTTATTCTCGATATATGATCCCCACGCGACTAGATATTGTCCGACGCTTATAATGGAAAAAAGAATGACGAGCATTTCCAAAAATCCCATTTTTCTAACACGTCTGTAGTAATAGAGAGCGTGATGCCAATCTGGCAAACCTTCTTTCAATACTTTATCATAATGTGCACGTTTCTTGGGATCTCGTAACACATCATGGATGGACACTAATTCTCGAAATCTAACTTCGGCGTCGGGTGCATCATTTTTATCAGGATGTAATTGTAATGACATTCGTCTAAAGGCTTGTCTAATTGTTGATGAATTCGCTTCCTGAAAAGAATATTTAAAAATTATTATCAAAAAGACAGCATGTAAAAATACAATTTTTTTTTTTTTTTACTGTTAACATTTAAATAACTAAATTTTACTTAGGTATGTTGTTTTGTTATTAATTTTAAAATAAGTAGGTGATAATATAATTAACGAAATACTTAAGTTTTATTTATTTAAATATACAAATTAAATTTATAAATTTTTTTTATATTTTATAAATATTAAAATATGCTACAATTATTATTGTTTTACTTTGTATTTTTCTTGTTATTAAGTAATTTAACTATTGCCAATGTCATTATTTTTGAGCTCGTGCCGTTTTATCAACAAATAAAAAAAAATGTATAAGGGATGAAACGTTTTTTGAAAATACAATACTACAATGTGTTTTAAAACAATATTATATAGTGATTTTTGTTTTTTACCAAAGCATAGTTATTCATCATTAGTTTTAGAATAAACTAAAAATCCAATCCAATTACAATGCAAAAAAAGAATAAAAAAACCTTTTCAATCTATGAAAATAAAACTAACCATGTATGTGTGTAAACTTTCGCGGATTGCAATATCACATGAATGATTTTCGGATATATCCGCGTCAATGGTTGTTAACCGACGTTTCGGACTCTTTGCAAAGTCCATCTTTAGGGTAATGTCACGACTGTTCCGCTGTCGTGACTGTACTCAGAAACGTCGGTTAACAACTATTGACGCAGATATATCCGAAAATCATTCATGTGGTAAAACTAACCAATTAAACTAATAATTAAAAAACGAAAAAGTTTTACTTACTGGAGATACATCAAGGAACTTGTAAAAATTAAGGTTGTTCAATTCTTCAACTAAATCGAATACTTCCATTTGCTCTGCCTCCCATCCTAAAATGGATCGGGTACTAAACGCTAGTATAACACAAATTACTGCCAACATTTTTGAGCCTGAAACAATAATTGTAAATCTTTAAAATAGTTAATTAATAGTCAAAAAAAATTGTTTTTTACATTATTCTAAATAAATTTGGTACGTACAAAAATTACTACCTTTTACCCATCAATACTCAGGTAATTTTAAATATTTTAACTTTAATTGTTAAAATGTATAGTTTTTATGCAATAAGTAATATGTCCTATATATTTTATGCTATACAAATTGAAAATAATTTAGCTTTAAATTTTTGAAAAAGTCGAACAGGATATTAGGACAGTTTAAGTATTATTAATATTGATTTTTTTGCATAGATTTCTTATTTTTTTTACCTTTTACTTATTTTTAATTTATTTAATTTTATTAGCTAGCATTATTATTATTTTATGCACGTTAAATTATGAGCAACCTATTGAGTAGTACACTTTATCAACCTTGGTGACCTATTATTATTAGGTTGCTAGGATGTTTTTTTTTTTTTCAAAGTAAAGTTGTTATATAAAAGGTGACCAGGATGTAGCACTATCAATATATATATATATATATATATATATTAGTTATAAATGTTCATTGCTAGGATTAAACTATTATTAATAATTTAAGTTATAAACAATTCTAATTTATTAAAAAATAATGTTTAATTTTAACATATTTTTTTTTTAAAAAACTATTTTAAAACTTTAATATTTTACTAATTAATTTTGAATTTATAAGCTATATTTTAGTATCAGTTTGCAAGAATCAAGGTTTTTTTAATAATCCCGACCTAGATAGGTTTGTTCAGCATTTGCTTGGTTATAAAAAGAAAAAGCGACATTTTTTTTTTAATTATAAAGTAAGACTAACCCACTACAGAGTAAAACATAAGCAATTATAAAATGTTAACTATTAGTAATAACTTAAATATTATTATAACATATGGTAGTTGATATATTACTTAAAATAACCTACTCCTTAACTATTGGAGGAAAAAATATATAAAAAGTACATAGCATTGCATTTGAAAGATTTCCTACCCACTCTACTTTATACCAATATAATAAACTAAAGATATAACAATTGCAAAATTATTTAGTTACGGTTTGATGTCTTGATTTGTATTGAAAAAATGTATTGTTTCGCAATAACAGTTTTAATACATCAACTGTGGCTAATAGGTATCTAGTGCAATACTTTTACGCATGGTTTTTTTTCTGCACAATTTATATAATTGCTTATTTGAACATTTTATGTTTGACATAATTAACAGTAAGACGATGATTATACAGGTATTCCTGATTCAATTTTACCTACCTTACTTAACACTTTATGCAAAATACTATAATAAATTAGCCTAATATTTTTAAAATTGTAAATAAAATGTTGTATTATCATAAGTAGTACAGATTTTATAACCCGTCCAGTCAATATAATGACAATATTGTCAGACAGATGGCAAAATACTGAATATCATGGTTTATGGATGACACTCAGAATTTATGCGGTTTAACAATAACCCAGATACGAAATGAAAGTATTACGGCAGCCTATAGGTCATTGTAGAAATAAAGGGTTGTTTTTTTTTTGGTTTACGAATTTTCTACCATATTGCGATTTGTATGTACAATATGGCAAAGAGAGCAATAAACTTTTTGAAGGACAAAATAAAAAACGAAATAATAAAAAAAAATTGTATATTATATTCCTGTGCATTTATTAATTGTTATCGGCCAACCATGTCAATACCCCAGGTATTAACAGGGTCACCGACGGGACGACCCTCCTATTTTTCCAAATGTGTCACCACGTCACCAACCGGCAGTATTGTGTGATAGTACTCACCCGTCATCGTTGCGGTCGTTGCGTTCGAATGAAATTGCTGGTTATTATCTGTGGCAGCACGGCCGTGCGAATCAACGCAAAACAAACACGTATATTGTCGAGCTGTTAGACCGGGCAACCGCTAACGTGGCGGATTCGGAAGACATGAGCCGCCGACCAACCGCGTACCGTACACCACCGATCACTGCCGAACAAACAAGCCCCGCTGCTACGCGTTGTCGCCGCTGCCCGTGTGCCAGAACCGCCGCTTTCTGCTGGCACGATTGCACAAAACGCGAGGGAAAGGTCCGGGATATATAGCAGGCGGTCGGGCCGTTTAACGTGTACGCCGTCCGCGGTGGGGTGGCACGGTGGTACAGCTTATTAGGTACTTGTCTTATCAGCTGCAGACGACGAGACAAGAACAGCAGCAGTTCGGTTACTGACAATAAACACTACCGCTGCCGCCTGTCGATTTACCTCCACGCGGAGGTTCGGGCCGCCTCCGCCCTCTTGGAGGCAAAACAGCGTCGAGTACACCGCCACATATACAAAATAATATGTACACTACACTGTATTCACACACATTACACGTCATAACATAATATTCATTAACTAAACTATACTTGAATACTACTTACTTGCATACCTTAAATAGTTCCGGAACTTAATCTTTTGGTCCGGAGTAAAATTATATTACTCTTTTATTTGTTCCGGAACAATTATGTTATGTTTGTCTTAGAAAAAAAAACGTTATTTGTTCCGGAAACAATGAACTTATTTGTTCCGGAAACAATAAACTTATTTGTTCCTCTGGTTTTTTCAGTTATTAATATTTTTTTTTTTTATTGTAAATCCATTGTTGTTACATAAAATAAGTATTACATAAATAACAATGAGATTATCTACCTTCTAAACCTTCTAAAAGCAAGCTTGTGTTAAAAGTAGAGAGCGACAGTTTACTTACAATATAATGTTATGTCTATGAATAATAGTTTTACATATATTTCCATACTAATTATTAATGACTTCCCATCCCCTAAAACATAGTGAATTTATAATATATAATAAATTATAATAATATCAATTTGCCAAAATTATAATTATATTACTGTTTTTTACGTGATATTAGAATTGTTTTAAATTTTAATATATGTTCTGGCAATTTTATAATTGTAATATTTTATTGAGTACCTACCTTTGAAGTATAATTTAAATGTTATAACTACCGTGATATATTTGTAATATTTTGTATTTATGAAATGTATGACGTGTTCAGTACTACCATTATGATAGAAATATTTTATGGTTTTGTTTTTAGTTATATATTAAAATAGCTATTTTTTGTGTTAAATATGAATTTAAAAAAAAACTTCTCACCATTAATTTGTTACCTATCAACTTTATAAAAAATAAACATAATCATTTTAGATATATTTAAGAAACTATTGAACATCAGCCATAAAAAATACATAGAACGTATAATTTTAATTTTGTAAGTTATTTATAATTGACCATTCTTTGGAATGGTGAGAATACCACTCCGATTAATGGCAAAAATGAATAAATGACCTAACTTCAAATGGGTCATATTATATAATAAATTTAAGTATTTAACAATAAAATAACAATTATATTTGCAATAACTGACTGAGCCATTTAGATAACAATATATTATTTTTCAAAAGTCCGCCTTTTAATTTTCAATAAAATGTTTATTGACAAATATATTTTATTCCATGAAAACCAACCATTGTCGATTGATATTTTCCAGTTCTTTTGACAGAATATCCCTGACTTACTTCACATGCAAAGATGCATTTCTTTCAATCCGGTCTTCGAGAAATTTCTTATCGACTTTCTAGCATTATTATTTGCACTTGGTCAGTTAACGAAATTATTTCTATTAATTTCAACTTTATTAATATCATTAAAGAAGTATAAAATGGTAAGTAACGTTTTCATTTTGTATACACATTACTTTGCACATGAATTTTATACTAACATTTACCTGTCTTTTGTTTTAAAAATTATATTTTACCGTTATATGTAAGTACCTAATCTATGTTCTAAATTTGTACTTAGGCAAGTATAACTTCGAAATTTCGCCCTCTTTTCAACAACGTGTTAGTGAAGAGATTAGAAGCTGTTAAACAAAGTAAAGGTGGTATTATGTTACCTGACAACGCTTCCAAAAAGATTTTGGAAGGAACTATTGTTGCAGTTGGACCTGGTGGTAAAAATCAAGTATGTTTTTTTTCTACTTATGTAAAACTATTTAATTTAATTGAAATTGTTTTATTTGATTCTAGGAAAATGTTTTTGTGCCAATGGAGCTCAAAGTAGGTGATCGTGTTTTATTACCCGAATATGGTGGTACCAAAGTTCAGTTGGAGGACGGCGAATATACCATGTACAAGGAATCAGATTTATTGGCCAAGATAGAACATTGCGATACAAATTAATTTTTTACCTGTGACTGTATAATTTAGTTTTAAATTGTGCATTAGTAATATTTCTTTTCTATAATGTTATTATTTATATAAATTCCTAAACAATTATATTATATGTTACTCAGTTTGTGAAGTAATTTTTATTTATACTATAAGTAGATTAAACAGTTAATACAAAGAATTTGTTCTCATTAAAATTTTAAAAACGTTTTGAATATAAGATATTAATTACGAAATAGTGTTATAAATGCATATGTAGGTCTTAAAATTAGTTAAGTTCAATAATTATGCTTTCAAAGTTCAATAAAAAGATCTACCGATATTAAAAATATAAATTTGTATATTGAAATTTGCTTATGTATGTTTTATAATTTACCAATTTTTAGGAAATGCAAATTTTGTTAATTTACTCTCAACCATAGGTATAACTTAATTAGAGTGAAACTTAGGAGGACTATTTCTTTGAAAATTAATTTCAGCCCTCCCCTTTCAATATTTGATATGGTCAATAATAAGTTAAAATGTAAAATCATACTCAATTTTATCATTTTTAAAAAACTTAGCAGTTTATAGCTTTAAAAAACATCCATTTCTTCAAATGTTCATAATTTTAAACATAGTTCATGATAAATGTTTAATTATTTATTGTTGTTAAATAATTTAACAATAATTAAAATTCAAGTCACTTTTTTTTTCAATTTAGAGTAAAATGGAAAAAAATTGTTTTTAAATTGGAACGTTTTTATAGATATTTAATATTACAAAAGCACAAATAATTATAAATAATAACTATCATAGCAAAATTTGCTATGATATATATATATTTATTACATATTTAATATAACATAAGTATAAATAAAGTATATATATTATAGGACAAAATAATAGCAATATTAATGAAATATAGGTACAAATAATACAAAAGTTTTTCAGCCGAGTCTGCAACCACGAAAGAGCATTTTCATGTCTCATTGAAGTACCGAATAAATTTAGATTAGTTGTGGAATTATAATTTAAAAAAAAAAATGATATGGAGCTTCCAGTTACAGCATAAGGCCAAGGAGATTAAAAAATTATGTATAATCAAGTTTCTGGCTAAAAAGCGTAACGGAAAAAGCATAACGAAAAAAGTGTTACGCTGTTATCTGATATGAGATATCAGATAGGGGTAGGGAATAGGGGTGAGTGATAGGGACGGGAGATAGTGGGTAGGGGATAGGGGTAAGATATAGGAGATAAGAGATATGTTGTGCGTTCAACGTTCAAATTAGAACTAAATAATAAATTCAAAATAGTTTAAGAGCCCAATTTCTCTATGAATTGTTTTAAGCCAGATAATAAACACTACAATTTTAGCCAGAAACTTGACGTTTTATTATACTAGCTTGTTACCGCTCGTTAATATACTATATCATTATCTATAATTCCACCCACTACTCTAAATTTATTCGGTACTTCAACAAGACATGAAAATGATCTTTTGTGGTTGCAGACTCGGCTGAAAAACTTTTTGCCAGGGTTATGTACCAGAGCTAAGACATGAAAATGTCAAAAGCATTTAATAATAAAGGAATACACAAAATATGTTTATATAATATAATAATTTAGTATTCCATGTAATAATTGTAGGTATGGGCATCTATTGAATTAATAGATTGAGGACAAATCTAAAATATTCGTTTAATACTTATTTGTAAAATTTAAGTCAATCGGACAGAGAGAAATACAAAAAAAACATTTATTCGGTACTTCAACGAGACATGAAAATGCTCTTTCGTGGTTGCAGACTCGGCTGAAAAACTTTTTCGGTTATGTACTGGCTAATTCTCACTCCTATCTCCCGTCCCCAACCCTATCTCCGTGTGGTAACGTTTATCTTGGTAACACTTTTTTTCGGTTATGTACCGGCTAATTATCACCCCCAACCCCATTCTCATTCCCACCCCCAACCTCATCTTCAACCCCATTTCTTTTTGACATTTTCATGTCTTAGCTCTGGTACATAACCCTGGCAAATAACCGAAAAAAGTGTTACCACTCGTCAGTCTTTCTTTGTTTTATACCGATCGGAATTAATCATATTGTTCCATTTGGCGAATGGTGGTTGCCAAATTGGAGTTTTCACTGGTTATACTTAGTGGCGTTGGGCGACTGCTGCTGTCTGCTATGTACTGGTTTTGGGTCCCACGGCTGATGAATTTGTTGTAATGATTTCTGGCTCAGGTATTAGTCAGAGGCTTCATTTTGACAATCGACTACAAGAGGTCTTTTGGCAAATGGTGCGCGAAACGACCTCCGGGTCTGAAGGTTATGAGCTCAAGAAAAACGATAAGATCTGCGGCCACCAGGATTTGGGTTCCGTGTTCGGCGACGACGAAGGCGGCGGAAGACAGTTGGTCAAATATTTTGCATAGCTAATTTGCTTCCGTTTGAATGGCCAATACGTTTTCTTCGGGCATTTCTTGACCACACAAGGCGGACATCCCGGGTCATTATAACTTTTCGGTGTTCACTGCCAATTATGTGTTGTTTTCACAACGGACAAACGTTGAATGAATAATAACTAACGAGGGGAATGTTAATATAAACATAAATTAAAGCCAATTATTAAAAAACTACCAACAAACTTTTGGCCACAACATAAAATTAATCATTTCTGTAGACGATCAACATTTCCGTTGACGCCGGCGTGCGCGATATCAATTCACAAATCGCAAGGCAGTACATATCCTTGTGTGGTGTACGAATACTTGAAATCGCACGACCAGCAGCTCGTGTACGTAGCCCTGACCCCTGTCTCGGTGCTCCTAAGGTTTGTTCCTGACCAAAAGAAGTTCAGACCACCGCTTTTACCACAGAGACGCGAGGAAACCGGTGAAAGAAATTCGTACCGAGTTTGAACGTTAATAAGGAGAAAACGGGTCTCAAAAAATTCAACGTGATCTCAACGGACTTCGGGGACATTAGTAAGGCACAATCTAACCTAACCATTAACAATTGCGAATAGCATAACTAATAGCTTTGATTATAATTTATAAATAATATACATAGCCCACTGGCATGTATTTTTTGCTGCGCGCAAATTGTTGTCGTTGTCGAGCGCTTTACATATTTTTTAGTAATGCCAGTAGATAGTAGATACTAGATACTGTGAGTGCTGACAATCACAGATTAGATAAAACCAGATGGTGTACTCAAGGTGGATAAATCCACCTAGGGTGTACTTTTATCTAATCTGTGCCAATAGCTTCCATAGGCCATTGCCTCTACTGATTACTCTCTCATATTTTGTAATTGTATATTAATTATTAAAATATTAATTAGTGTGTAGTTAATTATGATTTATTTATTTTTAATTAAATTTATAATAAAAAATATCTAAAAAAAATGACAAAAAATCCAATTTTATTTTTTTATTTGATCTGTGCTTGTTACTAGTTAGTAACTGATAAGTGATAATTGAAAATGCGTTCGATTTATTTTTCGTTTAGTAAATAGAATTTATCAACCATAAGAAGTACATTTTCCCCCTTACATTATATATTTTTAAGTAAAAACTAAAGAAGTGCATGTTAATTGTTATTACTTATTTTTTTGTTTGTAGCCTATACAAAAGTACAAACATAATATGTATTATTACTTAACTCCAAAATGTTCGCTTAAGTTTTTTATCTTTATTAGTGAGATTCTTGTAGCCATTTAAAAATCAAAATGTTTTTATTGGCACTTTTATCATATCATGCATGCAACGGATAAGAAAAATTATTTTACGGCAGTTTGAACAATACACACATAGACATAGGGGTGTGTTGCAGCAATATAATTGAATATATCAAAACCAAAAATTCACGTTATACTTATATTCACCATGTTTGTGAAGATGCAGCATTTATTGGTCATTTAAAATGTTTGAAATTTGGACATCAAAACGGAGGTGATTGGACCAGAACAACTCTTTTAAATGCTGTGGTAAGCGGTGATTTGGATTGTATGAAATATGCACTTAAGAATGGATGTCCACTTAACAGTAATTATGCTGAGCAACTTGAAGATTCTATTTGTGGTATGTCTAGTGAAGTAGAAGAGATATGTGCTGCTGCCTCTAGTAATGGTCATTTAGAATGTTTAAAGTATTTACATGAAAATGGCTGTCCATGGAATGAAACTACAACTTTGAACGCTGTTTCTTATGGTCACTTAGAATGTCTAAGATATGCAATTCAAAATGGTTGTCCTTATGATACTGAAAAGGTAATTTATACTTTGTTTGTAAAATATTTTTTGTTGTATAACAATGTATTATTTGAGTATAAATTCAAGACCATTAAATATTTCCTCCCTCTTTTCTAAGTATTAAAAAATATTAGTATATAGTAGATAGATTAAGCCGTTTAAATTTTTAACAGGGCTGTTTCTGATTATATTTGATTTACATTCATTTGGCATCATCATTATTTAAACAAGTCATCAAAATATATTGTGGTCTATCTTTGAATATTTAATTTATGTGACATAAATTAAAGACATAATTAAATTATGTCTCTTAACTCGAATCTTGGTTTGAACTCATTTGGTTAATAGCCACAGAGCAGCAGTAGTGATGCGTCATAGAAGACAATGAGTCAATGTCTATTCATTTTTATTTAATTTAAATAAATAAATTCCAATCAGTCTCTGTTAAAACCACACAACAGTTCACTGATGTTATATTTTATTTATTTTTCGTTACACAATTAAAGCAATATGTCATTATAACAATTATCAGTTATTCCTTATAATACGTTTGACTATGGAGGTCTAGTACTGACGATTCGGCAATGAAATTCGGTTCAGTAAAAAGAAATTACCAAATTTTGCTAGTACTAACAAAAATTACCGAAAAAATAGTTTGGTTTCTCTTACCGAATTCGGTAAGTATAACTTATTTAACCGACAGGCAATTAGGTGTCGGGAAGCGGGAAAGGTGTCGGGAAGCTAATCGGGAAATTGTTATCAAAGTTTTATCAGTATTGTTAAATACATTTTTTTCTGTCTGTAAATTGTGTTGTGAGCTAAGTAAAAACAATTGCGCGTTATAAACATGGCAAATCTTTTATTAGCTGGAATAGTTCAACGCCGACCTCCACCAAGGCATATACATATGGTTTTGGTACGGTCCAATAGTTTTGAAGAAATGACGGACCAAGAGTTTGTAAGAACTTTTAGGCTTACTAAAACTCTTAGCCAAAGATCTTATTTGTAAACTAACGCCATATTTTCATATCTTTCATCGTCTCTGCATTCGTGCGAGTGGGAGAGTCTGCCGTGTATAGGAAGAAAATAAATCCAGCTGTTATTGTCACATAGCCTACTATGTATATATATATATACTATATACTTTATGCTATATATATATAAATATACTATATACATGACATCGATAGAGCAGTAATTTTTACTTTTTTTGGGGTATGTTAAATATTTTGTATTTGTTTATACTTAGCTGTGTAATATTAGTCTATGTTTGGTGTCCCTGAATATAATAAATGACAATAACAATCCTCTCTCCCAACTTTTTTCAATAGGTCTTAACATCAGGTGGTCGGCGCCAAGTCCCCATTAAAATAAAACATCAGAGTATGAGTATCTTACGTTTCCCATCTAGACTAAAAAACCTTAGCATTGAAATTTGCTAAGCGATTTAATTTATAATTTTTATCTATCTGTTTGTTTGCTATGACTTAGTAAGAATTTGAATTTAAAATCAATATTTGGTCGGTTTTTACAACAGTAGCGCTTCCATTTGCCATTTGTGGGTTTAAATGATAATAATATTGGTCTCCCATCGATATAATTGTCACCGATAATCAGGAATAAATAACACTCGCTCCAATTGTTTTTTTTTTAAATATATAGCCAATCGATTCTTACAAAGACACCTTGTACAACCGTTAATAGCTATATATATATTTTATAATGGCCGGGTCTTTGTAATATGAGACTTTTCGGTAAAATGTGGGTTTTTTTTTGGGAAATATTTGGTTATTCGGTATTGTTACCGAATTACGGTAAGAATTAACGTCAGTACTACTGAAATTCAGAAACGATTACCGAGTTCGGTAAAAGGAATTTCGGTAATTTACCGAATCGTCAGTACTAGACCCCATGGTCATGTATAATAAGGATGTATTTATTATATTTTTATTTTTAAGCTGATATAATGTTTTCTATTTTAGGTAGAAATTGCGCTATTTGAAATGTATGCAGAGAAAAAATAGAGCAGCTCAAAAAGTATTATGAAACTGATCCAATAATAAAGACTTATGTTGTGTCAAAGTAAACTGACTGGTTGTGAGTCAGGACTAAGCCTTATGTCAACAGATGAATGTTGCAACGGTATTGGACAAATAAGAATGTTTTTAATATTTTAAATATTTATAGTATTAACATAAATATGTATTTAATAAGTATGAAATATTATTATTTATTAAGTTTAAAGGAAGTGTCATAATGAAGGTTTAAATGTTAATTTGAAATTTTTACTAATTAAACTATTTTTACCATTTTCATATTTTTTTAATTTTTATCCAAAATTATTTACTTCTGATTAAGCGTGTAATAATTTCAAGCTCTTATTTCTTAAAATGTTATTTTGACTTTGTAAATGTAAACGTAGCTGTACTTTTGAGGATAATTATTTTATCGAAATTTTGGAGGAAAAGACAGTGTTAGTATAATATTACCTTTTCGACTCTTACTTAACTTTTAATTAGCACTTGCATTTAAAAGCAATGGATAACAAATACTTTGTAATTGTTACTTGTATTTGTAAAATGTTATGCATTGGAGAAATTGTATAATTTTTTTAAGTTTAAACAACACAACCAAAAAAGCCTTAAAAAATTATAATAATTAAAGTAGGTATATATTATACTTGTTATAGTTATATAAGTAATATGTTCAAATTTTAGTTTGAATGACCATATTTAAGTAGGATAAGGTGTGAAAGAAAAACAAGTATGTATATTTTTGTTGATATTTTTAGAAGTAAAAAAAATTATCTTTTAAAATAAAATACAAAAAAATTATTGTATAATAATAATCATAGTTAATCAAGATGTTATATAGTAATACAACATGTAACATTGGTCATTGAGGATGAAAACGTATCCATTTGGTAATATTTAAGTAAAAAATTTGACACAAAAGCTTTAAACTGACAAATAATATTCTTATTTTATCTGATGCAAACTGTAGGATGGTGTCTATTTTTTTAATTTAGGAAAGTAGATAATATTTTACTTATTAAATATAAAATAGATGGTCAGATAAATAATATAATGTGTTCATAGATCTTGTTGTAATTAATAAATCTAAAGTATAAATGTTGATAAGATAAAACAGAAAAGAATGTGAATAATTAAATTCCAAGAAATTGAAAAAAAGAACGTATAGTTTCAATCAGTGTTGAGCGCTGACTGCTAAACATATACTAATCACAGGAAAAACTCGCTGCTCTTGATATTCAAAAATGACTTCTGTTTACACGGTAAGTTTGTTTAGTTTTTTTACTAACTTTAACTATGTAGGTAACCCGTAACTTATAATGAAAACTTAAGATGTACATGACGGATAACCTCATAAATTACTCCTCACAAAACTATTCTAACAAAAATATATCATTGCTCAGTACTTAACAAGTACACATAAAGCTATAACAAATATGTAGGTATTATGTTAAAATCACAACAAACTTTATCAAATAATAATTAATAACTAAATGCAGAAAACTAAATCCATGGTTAATCTTTTTATTTTGCATAATATGATGCATGATCAATAAGTAAAGCTATACTTTTAGATTACAATTATAAAACATAATGTAGTCAAAATATTATCAACACAAATTTGAAATTAAGCATTTTGGTCTTTTCTAAGAAAAATTGTTGTAGTCAGGAGAAAAATTCACCTTATTTGAACACTGTAAAAGTAAATATACGCCCGAGTAGAAAGGTATAAGAAAGTCAGCTCGCTCTATTGAATTTTAATATTACAATTGTTTTAATAATTTAGTTGGATAACCTTTTATTTATAACAACTCTATGGTCTTAGTTAAAGAGTTTTCGTCATCAATGCGGGAAGGTAATCTTGTATAAAACAGTCTGAAACTAATAGCCATACTGATTGGTTTTGTCGAAAAAATAATACATTGTACAATGTATTAAGGCATTTTATAGCTATTTTTACGGTAAATCATAAGAAATTAGTTACTCGAGTAAAGTATACTGTAGTCAATATATTTGTTGGAGTTACAATAATAATAAATAATAATAATTCAAATTTGTTATCATTAAAATCTATAGATAATATATTTTTTAAACGTACTGTTCCCGCCATTCCCTTGTTAAGGTAACCACGGTCGCGGTTTATGCGTTTATTATCAACGGCGGTTATTTTTTTTACGTGCCGATAACACTCTTTGTTTACTACGCTGGTTAGCTGTTAGCTGATAATCAGCCTACAGCCTACTACCGTTTTTACTTTTTTTACAGCAGTAAACAAAAACTCGTCGTAACGTAAACTATCGGCAAGCGTTTAATAGTAAATAGTAGTGTAGTTTTAAAATTGCAGCCGCGTGTGCCGCATCCTGAGTGCGTTATTTCTTAGTTTTTATTAAATAAAAATATCTGTTATATAATTTCTTTTAAATCGTCAAAATTTTAATAATATTTGTCGTTCAATCGTATCGCATTAACAGTTTTTATGTGTTAAGTCAGCAAGTTAAACTCCGTAACGTACAAAACGCTAATAAACGATCAAAATTATTATATTTATTATTTTAAATTTAAAACGTCTAGTATACCGATAGTTTGTAAGGTAGTTATGATCATACACTTATTTTCTAGTTTTCATTCTGCAAGTTATTATTTTTATTAGTGAAATGTTAATTAAATTAGTGTCTATTTCGAAAATCATTCCTAACCACTTGCCGTTTGATGACGGCTGGAAATGGTTTGGTCGTTGGTAACGTAATCATTGTTTACCATAATGAAGGTCACCGTTTGTTTTGGTGCGACTCGAGTGATCGTCCCGTGTGGTCGCGGCGAAATATTAGTCCGGGATCTTATACAACAAGCTATCACCCGCTACAAAAAAGCTACTGGAAAGGTGAGTTTGATGTTTTTATTGTAATACATATGTACATAAACTACAATGCTTACACAAGAAAGTTATATAGTTTACTTTTCTTCTAAATTCTGATTGTAGAAGAAACCGTTATTTTTGGTTTTGTTAAATCTAAAATCTAGACTATCAGGTTATATTTAATATTTAGATTTAAAAAGAATCACACGGATATGTGCTATGTGTATTTATGCTCATCTGATAACTTATTCAATTAGTAACAATGGAATTTTATGAAATTTTTATTAACATTTACTTTCGCTCGGTGCTACACCTTAAAGTTATTTAGTATATAACATATGGGATAATGTGAAGATCCTTATCAAACTGGTAATGATTTCTTTAGTGACAAAAGAAAAATATTTATGCTATAGAAATTACAAGATTACTTGTGTCAAATCAATGTGATGTTTTTTATTTATTTTAGAATATATTGTGCTTAATACGCCTGCAAATGTGTAAACATGTATATTGTCATCATAATTGTTGCTGTTATTTTTTAAAAATATTTTTTTATATGGTCAGCCTAAACCCAAAATTACATAGGTATCTAAAATAATGACAGAAACGTTATAGGGATAGATTATTAACTTAAGTGCGTAGGCTAAGTGTTGTAGTAATTGATTTTGTATAAGAATATAACTAAGAGCAATGAAATATAAATCTTTTTAAGAGGTACACATCTTTGTACTTTATTTCTTTTTTAGGTTTTTATTACTTTGCTTTTATAAGTAATTACTATATCTAATGATATTTAAATTGTAACTACATATTTTGTTTACTTACTCACTTTTAAGACATTTTGCTGTGATTTGTAGTAGCAATTTTAACTATGTCCGCTGTACTCTTATATTATCTATGTGAGTATAAAAGCATAGTATTTTGAAAGGTGCAATTTTAAATTGTCAATATCTGAACTATAAGTTCATTTTTAATAATATAATCGAATACTACCTATTAATATATAATATTATGTATTTTATTTTTAATATTACATAATATTAAATAGTATAATACGTAATAGATAATTAGGTACTAGCAAGTTATAGATAGTACCTATAACTACCTAACTCATTCATTGGAAAATATTGTTACACACAGTTATCGCGTTTAGCCAGGGTCTGTCTTAAACAGGTTTTACTGTATAGTTAACAATTACCATGAGACCTAGTCTCTGTTGAGACTTAGCAAGATTGTTTTTTTTTTGAAACCATTAATTTATTATAACTTCTTAAAATCCTTAGAGTCGCTTTGAACATCAAAGATAGGTATGTATATATATATATATTATAAATTACAATAAAATATAAAATAACTCAAGTTGCTATAAATGAATTATTTTCATCTATGAAGTAGTTTCTATACTTCTAGTTATGCTTTCAAATAATAACTAACCAAATTCTAGCTATCTATAATGAATATTAATTACTAATATTCATACAATACATAGAGTAAGGTCTAGAAAAAACTTAAGCAACACTTGTGGTTATGTATAAAAAAGAAATAATATAATGAAATATTTCATAAAACCCTTAACCACAAAAAATAATATTCTTTAGCGTCTTTACATTCACTAAAGTGTATAAACCTATTTTTAATGTTAAACGTTTTTTATATATTTTATTTTTTTATCATATAGGAAGGTATTATGAATTTAACTAAATTAGTATATATATATATATATATATATATATATATATTTATATATTAAATATATCTTGAGTTTTCGCAACCTTTGTGTTTTGAGCTAATTAAACAAAAGATATTCTCAATCTGATAAGTTTTACAGATAATAATGTAATTTATTATTGAAAATTAACCTTGAATACTTTCAAAACATTTTTTATTTTTATACCCCTCCAAAATAAGCAAAGCCTTAGAGCGTTATGTGGTAGGACTGAATAATGTTGTTTGTTTCGCATTGCTGCGGGTTTGAAATTTGATTTCTTTACTATGAAGTTTGACGTTTTACACCACTGCATCACTCATATTGACTATAGTAGGTATATCCTATTGGTTCTCAAGCTTATTTACTTATGAAACATTTTAATTGCTACAGAGTACAATATATTTCCTACCCTTTAAGAGTCACAAATAATGGAATAATTAGTGATTTTTTTTTTTCCATTAGACAACATGGTTTGTTAATGAATTCAGTAATTTTATATTTTAACTGTTTGGAGATCCCTAGACATTTTTCAAATTACTTTGGACTCTGTCGAGTATTGTTTAAGGATCCTATCAAATGTTCTATAATTGTGTTATTTGTGATTCTATTAGTTATGTGTACTTACGTCTACCTAATTCTACTAGCTCTGTTAGTTTATT